TTTCTTCATAAGGTAGAAGCATCCTTCTTCTTAATGTGGCTGAAAGGGCTTAAAAGCTGATGAGAAGTGAGCTTACAATCAAGCAGGGAAGTAACTACCACAAAAGGCCACTAGAACTGTGCCCGAGACACCACCTTCACGGCACGTTATCAGCACTGGGGGACTTGTTCAAACACATTTTTTTGGACAGAACTTCTCATATCTGGTCTCATGTTAACATAAGATAAAGATGTTGCTGGTATGAAAAACAGTTCCTGCAAGTGAAAATATGAACAAAAGCGGATCATGTTGTTTTTCCATCCCCTAGAATATTTTCCACAGCTCCTTCTATACTCACATTTAAATAAACTGATACCTAACCATAAAAAAAGCTAGGATTCATTATTAAAGGAATATCATAACACAAATTAGGATTGTTTTTAATGTCAATCAGTTTTCCCAGGGGCCTGATTGAGTCTAACTGCTTTTCCTCAACTGCAGAAATATATTCTGCAATTCAAATACCTGCCTGTTCAACAGTATTTTCATCTTCAGTACAATGAAATGCACTGCAACTCATTAAGGCTTTTTCTATCACACACTTAACGATACAACAAGATAAAACTCATCCATCCCCTTCCAGCTTTTCTCATATTTATAAAAATTTCAGATACTCCATAATCTGTGAGAAATGGATTGTACAAGATGGAGCTGCTGAGCGCCCCAAAATCTGTCTTTAAGGCGAAGTAGTAAGGTGAATACCAAATTTTGCTTTTATCATGACAAAAATATCAGAACTATGGTACTTAGAACTCAGTCCCTCATGCCGATGTCTACTCTCTTGCCCTCAGCAGAAATGTTATATAGATCTGCTAGGCGTAGAGAAGATTTTTACGCTGTTATAATAATAAATACCGAAGTGCTTGCTGAGTGTTTTATTCCCGCCTTACTGAAAGATTTCCATGACTTTGTCCTTGTACAGAATGATGGTCAATACTCAATAAAGAGTATTTTGGTTTTGTTGCATTTAGGTCAAATATAAAATTATAACTCTGCCACGTGAATAACTATTACAGAAGATGGTTCTGTTTCGACTTCTGCACGGATCTGCCTAGGGAAGCTTGCTGCGTTCCACAAAACGCTCCAGGTGGCTAGTGAACTTCAAGGCAATAAGCAATAGCTTGCAGCATCTGTTCTTTCAAAACAGCTTTCCTATCAACAAGACAACAACACTTGTAGATTGCTCAGCTTCCATTTTCTAAAGCTAGATAGTTTTAACTGCAAGATTTTTGTTCAAATACCATACTTGTAATTTAAAAGTGGAAGAAATAGCCATGTCACCTGAGATACCTGAAGAACTTGATTCCCTGAAACATGAGTGAATTCATTCTCTCTGATGAGCAATCAGAGAACTAGCATTATAATTTACGTTAAGAGGAAAAAAAGTGAAGATTTAAGCAAAGATGGGGGGGGTGTATACCTATACACATACGTACGCTCAATTTCCTAAGAAACCCACATCAGCTGCAACGTATGCAACACCGGTAATTCGCCACCTCACTGATATTCACAACCACACATCTCCATTTAAACATCTCAGGAAATCAGTGCTAAACATGTAAAAAAGCTGCCAACAGATCTCAAATCTGAAAGTAACAGCGCATCATGCTTTTGCACACCAAAGAACTTTCTTGTTTAAATCTTCCTAATTAACCCATACCTTCGTATGCCTATTGCAGCGCTCATTTTATCAGTCTCTTTGTACTATCAATCTTTCTCTTCTTGGATCTTAGACAAATTCCTTACTACAAAGTGGCACCTGACCCTTCCAGACAAATGACTTCAATTTGCAGTCAGCGACACTAAATGCCTGCCTCTCCTATTTTGTATAGAACACATAATTTAATTCCTTTAAAGAATTTATATGAATAAATATTTAAAAGGTGATCTATGAGTATGGTTTTACATTTTGTCATGTCACGTGCTGAAGCTTCCTCCACGAAATTCCACTGGAAAACAGAGACGAGTACAGCAATGTCTCTGCACCGGAAGATCAGGGACAGTCTTAATCAGTTTAAAGCCACGTGCCACAGCTTTAAAATGTGTAGGATATATTATTGTTACAAACGTGAAGGTATCACAAAAAATAGCTGAGGATATATATGTTACATTCTTAGTAATCTTAAAAATAAGTATTTCTTGATTAATGGGATTTACACACCTGGAAACTGAAACCTACATGAAAATAGTAAACCACAATGAAAGGGCAGAGATGCAGCTCTGTTACAGTCAATAGTGAGGTTAATTGAGCACAAAATTGTATTGAAATATGCCAGTATTTTCCACTAGTGGCACAGAGACATCTGAAACCTTATGAATACCTAAAATGGGATTACACAGATTCATGCTTAAACCTGCAAAGTATACCTTTAAGAGCTGAGATACATAGATTTCTTTAAATTACCTTGACCCTAGAATTCCAAGAAAGCTCATCACTGACTTAAAAACGTAATTAGCTTTTGACTTTGACAAGTTTATCCCTCTAAAATCATGACAAATGGAAGCTAGAAAACTCCAATAAAAAAAAATCTTCATCCAACCAGGGAGGTCAGCTAAGCAGCAAACAGCCCTCAGGTTCCTTTACAAATAGCTACATTTTACATCTGTGAATCACATCCGTCTACATTCAACGTAGAGCCTCTGCTTGCTGACGTTATGTCAGCGTACCTGTAGCATATGCTGGAGGGCTTTTCGCCAGCGAAATTATATCAGCACACCCACTAATTCTTTTCTCTTGGTATGGTTGTGTCAATACCAAAAGTAATGCCAGTGTACGTGTGTCAGCCAGATAGTGTGATTGTAGTCCAAGCTGTCACAGCAATGCCAGCAGCCTTCCATAACATCAAAGGCCAAGACGGGATGTCCTTCCAAAAAACATCTGTGAGCCTCAACTAGGCATCCCAGGCTTGTTGCAGGGATCGCTGCAGAAGATTCTTTTAACTATTATGTGCAGGGGGTCAGGAAAGAGTCACAAAGATCTCTCCTGATGTGAAAAGCCTATTAAATCAAAAAGAATTAACTTAACAGCAAATGGAAAAGTTTCCTTTTTACATCCACATACTGGAAGCAGATTTAAGGACAGAATTTCTCTATATACTTACACCAATTCTGTGCATATACCATAAGCGATTCTGAGATAAAACCGTCCATATCAATTTTAGGACTGATCAGAAAGCATTAGTGAATACAAAGTTTCTCCTAGATTCTTAAAAAATTCAATGTTTAGCCTGTGCATATGGCACAGCTTAGGGCCTTACTCCAATAAACTTCTATGAAAGTCAGACAGTTGTTGAAAGTTAGGCATTTCTCACTTTTGTGGGCAAAAAAAGTGTTAAGTATTGCAGCATTTTAATTTGCAAAAAATTATATATCTTTATTATATCTAGATTGATGTGAAGCGTATCATTAAAAGACTGAAGACTGGTTGCAGTACTTACGCTTGCTTTTATTTGGGACTGATCAGGAAGAGCAGAGGCAATAGTTCTTACAATTCAAATTACTCTTCTGTCTAGAATTTCATTGTAGTAGTGCCCCCTTAACCCTTTTCTAGGTACTGCTTATATAATTGACATATTTAGGATTTGTGATTTACACTACATACAACCCCATTATAAACACCCTCTTTATCCTTATAACAACAGCTGTAACACATGGGTGAAATGCACATATAAAAATGGTACAGTGTGTCATGAACAAGTACATTTAGCAACTTAAGGGCTAGTCATTATCGAATTGCTGGAGATTGCGAATTAAAAAGATAGGTAGCTAAGCAACAGCAAGCTTCCTACTGCGAACGGCTTTCTGTTGTACTCTTTATAGTTCTGGCAGAATCATTACTCTTTAGAACTCAGAAACAGTTAACAGAAAGCTGCTCCAAGTACAGTAATTAAGGAGAGGATAAAGCAGTGTATTTTCAAATTGGATGGGTCTGTAGGGACCCCAATGGAAAGTATCCAAGACTTGCAATGAAGGTGTTTCATAAAACATACAGTACTTGTTATTGCAATTAAAACAAGTTTTATGGAAAAAATAATAAAATACATTAAAAGCTCAAGAGGTAATTAGATTAAGAACGGTTTCATTTTAAAGTGTTAAATCAGAGCAGAAATAAGATTTAAAACATCACGTATTACCATTTCACGTGCAAAACACTATGCTGAAGTATCATTATAATCCAACCCTATAATCGTCTTTGAGCAGAACTCCCCTTTCCTTCAGTGCCCTCAATAAGGATTAAAATATTCATAAAGCAAGCTTTGGGCTGAACTCAAAATCCACATTTGGATGGTAACTGTAGGCAAAACAATGCAGAGAATACAAATATAGTAGTATCACAGGCAGGGAAGTATTAATATCTAAACTGGGACAGGCCAATTCTAAGTCTGTTTCAACATCTGATCCAAACAGGGCTTCTGAGGAGGGGGCAAAACCTTAAAAATGATGAGCACGATAACTTGCTTATGGGAGATGTTGTCCCCAACCTGAGGTTTTGTATCACAAAACAGGAGCGCAAAATATCTATATTTAACTGCCGAGAAAAAAAAATATATATATTGTTAGGAGGGCTGTGTTCCAACGAGTCCATTAAAGTGGCGGTTACCGTATTTCAAATTAATTTCTGCTTAATTCTCTCTGGAGTTTCAGTTCAGAGAGCCTAGGCCCAGTTCCAGTCTAGTTACTGCAACACACGTGGAATAAAATATCCCCTGGGAATCTGAGGCTTTCTGCCAGACCGCGACAGCATGGAGGGGAA